TATTACTGACATCTTTTGGCATATCAACTCTTAGTCCAAATAAAATAATTAGTTTTTTCCTATAAAACAAATATCACAAGTTGCAGATATTGATACTCCACCAAGAGACACTAATCCATTTATACCCATCATCAAGAATCAATAACCAAGTGGTTTGAAGTCAACTACAAGTGCTTCGACAAAAACTTTATTTTTATTTGGAGTTACAATTCTAGTTTGGCCAACACCTTTGCACTACTGTCGTTTTCCACTAACAGTTACTACGCTAACTTCTTACTTCATTATCGTTGTTGCACATTTTTTGTAAATGATGAGGCAACTAAGCTATGAGTGCAAAGCCTGGAGCAAACATCTACCCCCTTAAGTTGTTGTTTGGACACATTCTTGATATGTGTCCATGCTCTTGACACAAGAAACATATCAGTTTACTTTTGTCACGTCTTCCAGCTGATTTGTTTTGATTATTATTCCTTCGTAGATAACAATCTTTCGTAGAATGATTAGGAACTTTGCACTGATAGCATACTGATTTAGTTTGATCTTCCTGGATTTAGAGTCAATAAGTTTTTTCGTTTTGATAGAATCAATTGCTACAACAGAAAATGTTTCGTTCCTACGTTCCTCATCATGAGTGCTCGTTATTGTCAAATAATTTATATAGTTGTAATTTCTTCGATATGAGAACTTGATCTCAGCATCCGTCAAAAAAAATTGCAACTTTTGAAGCCCTAATTAGAGCCTAAAAAACTTTTAATAATAAATGGAATATTACCATGCTACTCAAATTTAGATTTAAAAACTAGGGAAGCAGCCTGGCCTTCTCTACTTAAGACTAAATGGTTCCGCCAATGTAATAAGATTTTTCTATCTGCATTTTCCTAAAGATATAATCTGTAGTCATATAATTTCACTAACAACTATTTTTCTAAAACTGAAATTCAATTTTTAGTTTTATCAAATATGTGTAAGGTCCGAAATTGTAAAAAAAACCTAAAAGCTTGAATCTTAATTGTTTATAATTTTATTTATAAGTATATTTAAATAGAATATTCTTGAGTCTTTAACAAAGTTGCACACTCTTAAGTCTTTTAAGACTTAATAATATGCAATTTTAAACGCAATTTCATTTAAAGGAGGCGCCGTTAGACCGTTCTAGATGGGCGTGGGGGGCAGCTCGCCCCCCATCCCCCACACGCCCTACACTAAATCCGTCACTGCTCCTATATTATTTTTAATTTTTATGTCAGTCGAAAGCTAGCTACTTTGTTTTTAAAATTAACGTAATATATGGAGGATTTTCTTCAATAAATTTTGATTTAGCTTTGCATCAGCATTTATTAAATCTAAATTGTAAGCATTGTAGAAATTTAGACCTACATGAATTATGCAGGACTTGGATGCTATCGATTATTTGAAGGTCAACTCAATGCTTATAGATATATTTAAATTTTAAATAGTTGCCTTTTTTCCTCAATTGATATATTAATTTAAAAAAAAGAGCAATATCATATATAAACGAGATGGTGCATCGTGCCATACTGTAAAAATATGCAAACATTGGTATGAAGACAACAAAATTTTAATAAATGATCGAAATTTTGTCGACTTTATTGAATAATGTCGCGGCCAGCTAACAGCCCTGACCTGAGCTGTACAAAAAAGTTATGGTCATGGTTAGATAATCATCTTGGAATAATTGAATTTTCAAATGTTCAAAACAATTAAAAATTGAAATCAGGAAATCGCTTTACAATTTTTTTAAAGAAATACCTCAAATTTGTGCAAATTTAATGCCAAAGGAGAACAAATTAATGATTACAAGAAAAAGGTAGTTCTACAAAATATTTAAAACTTTTAAAGGTTCTACAAAATATTTAAAACTTTTTTTTTTTTTGTAGTTATTTTAGGTGCTCCCAGAAGTCCTTACGGTCTTATCACAGAGCACCGCGGGAGAGCATATAACAAGAAGTTCACGCCTCTTTCCGTACCAATGTCGTTTGCGAAGACGTACGATAAATGTGTAAAACAACGAAAATGATCCATTTAATGAAGTTTTCGTCACCGCAAAAAAGATGGTGAATGGCTCTGCAAAAAAGATTGTATCATTTTCAGATTAAAAGCAAAGGGTAGGTCAGGTATACAACTAGGAAACCTCATAGTTCAAAAACTATCCATCATCCAAAAGAAGAAAATGTATTTGAAGCTTACTTCAACAACTCTAACGGCAACATCATGAGGCAAAATACCAAGAGTTTGAAGATTCAGAAGAATAGTCGACATTTACCAGCAAAAACTGCAGCAAAACCAAAACCCTAACCAAATCAGTAACATCTTTAAAGTTATCGACCAGCAAAGCAATCATTTTTCGATATTTGTCTCAAGATAGAGTTGACATTCAGACACCTTCACTGTCTGGTATATTCAAATCAAATATTGAAGAAGCTGTTAAGCTTATAGAAGAAATCAAGAAAACACTACATTTAAAAAGCTGTTCAATGCACTTTGATGGTAAAGGTATCAGTCTCCAAGAATATCAAGTGTTATTGTTGAAGAATAAACGAAGTTCAGTCACAAGCCCTGTAAGTAAGTAAGCCCTGTAGTACTGTAAAAGTACTGTGCCCTAGTTAGTGTTTAACCTCTAAATTAAGCACTAACTTCTGTTATAACAACAGTATCTGCTTAAACAGTATCTAACAGTATCTAACTTAAAAATTAAGCAGACTCAATGGACACAGTACTTTTTAAAACGCTTTTTATTAGGTAATAAAAACGTCTAAAGAACGTTTAAAAAACGTATCGTGCCCACTGGGGATACTGTTGTTAAAGGTATAACAGCTGTTTTCAATGAATACAATTTATGGAAAAATGCAAAATGATTGTAGCAGACACAATGAATGTGTATACACTGGAATAAGGAATGTGATTATCTGTCAGTTAAAAGACGTTTTACTGAACAGAAACTGGAAGAACCACAAGTTCATTGGTTGTTAACATCATGTTCTTGACCGAATTCTTCGCGTAGTAATGGTTGAAGAATGGAGAAAACAACATGGCACCTAGTATCGAATATCCGTTTCTTTCGAAACTTTTAAAGAGCAACGAACAGTTCAGGAAGACTTTCAAGAATGGTAAAAAAGAGGGATGGCATAATGATATGAAATTTATATTTCAAATAATTCCGATATTCCACTTTTTTGAAGAAGCTGGAGTATTTTCTAAAGTGAAGTTTCAGAAAATACTTAAGTTAAATAATGCCAGATTTCCCGAGCAATACTAGCTCTTATGGCTTCTTATTCTTCTACCAGAGAGAAGAGACTCACTACTCGATATTTGTAAAATTGTTATTCAAGTTAATATTTTTATATTTATTTGTATTTTAGAGTGTTATGATGTAACAATAAACTGTAAACAATAAGCTGTAAACAATAAACTGTAAAAATACAATAAACTGATGCAATAAACTGTTAAATGCTTTAAAACTAAATAATAACTCTCCAATTATAAAAATTAGAATTAAAAAAAAACGATCATAAAATAGTTTAAAATTTTATCTGCACGCATATATGTTAAACTCGAACTTTTGGTTTGTGGATGACCTTTTTCAACAAAAAAATCGAGTTAATGTTTTTTTCCATTACTTTTATACAAATATCGATTTATGACCCAGAAAACTTAGAGCCACAAAAAAGTCATAACCCTTATATACACATATATTTATATAATTTAAAGTTTTTATTATATAATCAATTTGTTTTAATTTGAAGTGAAATAAAAATTACAATCTGTTTCATACTGAAAACTGTTTTATAAAATAATAATTTAAAAGTATAATTGTTAGCATATCGCTTACCTAAAGATAAAAATATGTAATTAAAAAAAAAGACGCCGTTAAAACAAAAGCAAACTACTGATTTACTTTAAAACATTTGTTATCTATTACTTTAATAGTTAACAAAAATAAAAACAGTAGAAGCTGTTATAACTAAGTGTAAGTAATGGGTAAGTAAATAAACATTTATCAATAGCTTATTTTATTTTTAACAGTTCCACTTGGTTGGAGTTAAATTATAGATACCTTGTTTATAGCCATAAGAATCTTTGAATTAACAAACCGTAGTTATTATTCATGTTTAGCATCTTAAAAAAAGATTTTATTTTTAAATAGATTTTAAGAAATTCTGATTTTATAAAGACATTACCACTAAAAAAAAGATAAGGTTTTTTTACAGAAGTTATCATTTTGTTTGCGTTTCTTAGTAATAAAAAAAAACTTGGTCACTGTTAACCAACGATAACTTTTCCATACCATAGTTTAAACGTAGTATCATTGCCCTAAAACCTTTTCGGTATACTTGCTAATAAGTAGCATCCTCTAGGTAGATTGATGACGGACGATTTAAAATGAAAATAGCTACTATTATAACATTTTTTTAATGTTTCGGAAACACCAAAAGCAAAAAAAGTTTAGAAAACAATTACTTGTATAATTTTAAAAATAGGTCACGGATGTAATAAATATTTAAAAACATGTACTTTCTAGATTTAAGAAAAATTAACTATTAAATATGATTAATCTTCCAAAAAGTATTTTTAATTCGATTCGTCTTCTTAAAGGCATTTTTAATACGGTTTGACTTCTTAAAGGCATTAAATTCGCGAAAAAAGAAGTCCAAAGCTTAAATAAATAGAATAGTTACTCTATCCGCTTCAGACGTTTTTATAAACGGTTTTTTTAAATGGTTTCCTGTTTTTTCACCACAAAACATTTTAATTCTTAAACTTAAAGTTTTATTATAAAAACTATAAATTTGTGTTTTGAATCTGATAAGCTTGTATTTTATTTAAACATTAAAAATTAAATGACCAGTTTTTCATTAGAAAAAAACAAAAAGGTCTATAAACTCACCTAAAGAAACAACAACTCAATAGATTTACTCTGGAAAATCAACATCTCTATAGATTCACCCTAATGAACGCTGAGAGAAAAACAGTTGGTAAGAGAAAAATTTCTTTGTAGCTTTTAAACAAATTTAATCAACCTCGTTTTTCGAAAACATTGAAGAAACTAATCATTTTGTAGGAGAAACTTGTTGATTATAAGTTCTTAACACTAAGATTTTAAATATGTAAGACATGTTTTTATTTATTATTTTTTGCTTTTTTTTATAAAAAAACAAATAACGAACCTATCACAAAAAACACGGTTTATTTAAGTAGGAAGTTCACATCGCCTTTTTTAACAATATCACTTATAAGGATAAAGTTATTATTTTTTTTTTTATAATGCTATTTATTGTTGTCTAAAATCTTTGTTAAATATTATAAATATATTTAATTTGTATTCATTATATGAGCTAGATTTTTCGTTACAATATTTTAATTTTTGAAAGCTAAAGGAGAAGATTTAGCTAGGGATCGCTAGTATACGGTGTACTAAAAATTTAGTATACAGTTTACCATATAGTATACAGTAAAGTGTTTCGTAAACAATTTTTTTTGGGCGAAACCGTAATACACGTTTGTAAAAAATGTTTACAGCAATATACATTCAACAATATTTCTTTGATTTGAAATAAACAAACGTTTTTATGAAAATAAATATTAAAATTGAATGATGTGTAAATTTATTTTTATGATTCTTAAAAGAATAAAAACAGAAGCTGAAAGCTGAAGGGATTTATGTTTACAAAAACATAAAATAATCTTCACTTTTTCCACTTTATGTCTTTTTGTGATGCAAGTGCATTTATACCATGTAAAATGCACTTGCGTTACAAAAATCGATAGAAATGTGAAAAGTACCTTATACCATTATAAAAAAAAATGCCTTCAATTCACCTTTCAGCTTCTGTTTTTATTTTTTTATGTCTATTGCTAAAAGCAATTGTCAAATACGCACTCTCTAAACCTTCGATAGCAACCTGTTTTTGTAATTTCATTAGATTTGACATTTTGCCAATCGTCATATATTTCAGCAAAGCATTTTCATATATAACAGTTTTTGTTGAGAAATGAATAAATTCAAGAAGAAAAAAAATAAAATTTTGTAACGGTTTTTTTTTTGTGTATCTTTATGTTGACTCGCCATTTTAAAACTGCTTTTTTTTTTTTTTTTTTTTGACATTTTTTTTATACAGTTACATCTATGTTTCATATTTTAATCTAAAAAAATAAAATAAAGAATATTCAAGATTCTAGTTTTTTTTTTTATATCATCGATCTACCTAAACCGTTTTTTAACGAAATCAAGAAGAATATCCATTTACACAGAATGCATTATTAGTTCTGTATAAAAAAGTAAAGTTACATACCTTGAAAAACATCAGTTATTTGCCTGGGCGTAGCTTGTAGTGGTTTTTATGTCATCGTTCAATTCAATTTCATTATTTTTAATGAATAGAACTCTCATGACTAAATGTTTAAACGTAAAAAAAACCGTCACATTAAAAAAACCGTCACATTAAAAAAACCGTCACATTAAAAAAATCTTTTAAAAGGGCGTTATAACTTTTAGAAGGACGTTATGACTAATAGGTTCTGTACCTATAAAGGAAATTGCTACGCGTTCAGATAAGTTGAGACAACGACAACTGCCAATAAACAACTAAATCAAATTTATCATAAATGAAAATTTATCTAAAATAAAAATTAGGCATAAATTCTTTGTATAAAATAGTTTATGCATTTTGAAAAAAGAATGCACTAACAGGGTCCGAATCGGATGACTTTTTTAGTTCTCGGAAACCACCGTGATTTTCAGTAGAAGTTTGTAAACTTCGTTTATATAGACTTTTATTGGAACTAATCACTATTTTAGCTTGCTATCTCGATATATATATATACATATATATCTATCTATATATATATATATATATATATATATATATATATATATATATATATATATATATATATATATATATATATATATATATATATATATATATATATAAATATATATATATATATATATATATATATATATATATATATATATATATATATTTATATATAACAAATATATATATATATTATTTTTTTTTTGTATATATATATATATATATTTATATATAACAAATATATATAAATATATATCATTTATTTTTGTATATATATATATATATATATATATATATATATATATATATATATATATATATATATATATATATATATATATATACGCGGGCAGGCTTCCCCTCTTGAGTCAACCTTACCCTCCTTCAAATTTCTTTTGCCCCCCTTGAAATTTTATTTTCAATTTTTTAACTCAATTTTAATAAGGCTGAATCCATCATTCAGATTCTGAAATAAATTTTCAGATCTTTGTGTACTGAGTCACGTTTCAAAAAAATTTCCGATGTGGCAACTGAATCTACTAAAACGATGGGTTTGGACTCACCAGCTCTGTCCAGGAAGAGGAAAGTACCTACAAGATTTGAAGTCGGCTTTAGGGATATTACCAGCAAAATAACTCAAAGGAGATCTACAAGCAGTTGAACTTTCCAGGTTTAGATAAAGTTTTAGTTGGCCTTACCGGTACATTTGAATCAATTGAAACGACTCGTCATTCAACAAAAATTGAAAAGTTTGCGATTGGATCAAATAAAACTAAATACAGTATCAACTACATAAAATTTTCTACAACGACAATTTTCCTAATTATCAAAGATTTGTGCCATTACAAAGTATTGTACCATTTGATAACCCAATTAGTTTTGCAAGGAGAAGAAATATTTCAAACTCATCATCGTCACAATCTTCTAGTCGTGGTATAGAGAAGTTAAAAAAAAAATACAGAGGAGGAAATGCTCTTACAATTAATTGCTCCGAACATTCCACTTAACTTGTTTCATAAAAGCGGAAAGGTTTATACATTTTTATTCAATGTGGATTAAGAGTGTCAAGCTTGGACTAAGGCATTGCGACCACAAATAAAACAAATGCAAGTTAAAAGCAATAAGTCTATTCATATGAGCAGCCTAAAACTCCAACAAGCACTAGAAACTCTCCTAAAGGTTTAACGTTTTGGTATAGTTTCAAGTACATCATCACAATTTATTGGATCAGTCTAATATAAGATCTTTAAGTGTGGACTTTTCAACATTTGATGATAAAAACTTGCTTACTTGTTATTTGTATTTAAACATTAGCGATGGAAAAAGTCTCAATAGAAATTCACATACATATGTTTTTTTGGAAATAGATAGTTTTTTTTTTTCGGAAATAGATTTTTTGTTACATATGTTTATTAAAAAAAAAACGAAATGCGCCGTAGATTGTTTTATTTGGAAACTAAGTAAAATTCGATCTCTACTGGTATTTTTTTAATTTCTTGATGCTAATTAACCAAAATCAAAAATTGTTATTTTTTATTTTTATATTAAAAATAATAAACACTGGACAGTAGACATATATTGCGCAAAGATTCGGACTTTTAACTTTTTGCCCCCTTGAAAATATTAGTACTCTACGCGCATGTATATATATATATATATATATATATATATATATATATATATATATATTATATATATATATATATATATATATATATATATATATATATATATATATATATATTTATATATAACAAATATATGTTTATATATAACAAATATATATATATATATATATATTTATATATAACAAATTTGTTATATATAAATATATATTATATATATATATATATATATATATATATATATATATATATATATATATATATATATATATATATATATATATATATATATTTATATATAACAAATATATATATATATATATATATATATATATATTTATATATAACAAATATATATGTATATCATTTATTTATATATATATATATATATATATCTATATATATATATATATATATATATATATATATATATATTTATATATAACAAATATATATATATATATATATATATATATATATATATATATATATATATATATTTATATATAACAAATATATATGTATATCATTTATTTTTATATATATATATATATATATATATATATATATATATAATATATATATATATAAAATTTGTTTTTGTGTGTGTGCTAATGTCGCAATAGTTTGAAAAATATGCAATGGTTTTCAAAACGCGATGTTCTAACTAGAAATATTTGATGACTACTATTTATTTGAAACACTCACAAGCAATTCGTTATTATAAAAATGCCTACATGAAATTGACAAATTTGCAACTTCTGTGCGTGACCATACATAAACAGCATTTAAACGATTGCTGTGATTTTAGGACACATAGTGTAATCCCGTAATTTTCCGGAAATTTTTACTAATATTTAAAATATTATTAAGTAAAAAAAAGAATTACTGCTGAAACTTATATTTTCCGTGGAATGAAAGTTTATTTATCTTGTAACTAAAATTTGCATTTTTCTGTTTCGTGCGTGATTCTGCTTCAAACTTAATTTAATCTTTGATAACATTACTAATGTGTACCATTCTTTGTTTACAAAATTTTTACATATGTCTATTATTTGTTAAAATTTTTATATATGTCTATTATTTTCATAAAAATATCACTGGCGCGCCAGTGATATTTTTATGAAAATTTTTTATGAAAATACCCTACTATAGCTTATCTCGACCTTACGGGAAGGAAATATATGGATATGCAAAGAATACTTTTATGAAGCAGTTTTCTGAATATCAAGAAAAAATTTCTAAAATCAATTTGTTTTTAAATAAACTTTCCATAACAACAGCTGACAAAAAAAATCAAAAACAATCACCATGGTGTTACCGGTTTTTGATTCATAACAAATAGATGCAACCCGCATTCTAATGACGTAATGATTAGAAATACTATAATGCACCCTATGAGCAACGATAAAATGTAAATATGAAAATAGTTATTGAAAATAAAAAAGGCTAATGAAAATTTACAAAATTATTCTACTGAAACACCGATTGTTTTAAAAATAAAAAATAATTGGAATTTTAACACGTCCTAATTTATTTTGGTTGTCTGCAATTTATTTTGGTTATCTGCAATTTATTTTGGTTATCTGCAATTTATTTTAGTTATCTGCAATTTATTTTGGTTATCTGCAATTTATTTTGGTTATCTGCAATTTATTTTTGGTTATCTGCAATTTATTTTGGTTATCTGCAATTTATTTTGGTTATCTGTAATTTATTTTGATTATCTGCAAGCCTTTACGATCATTTGATAAGTAAGCTAAATATTACTAAGACTTAATAAAAATTAAATTCCCCAAAATAAAAATAAAAAATCTTAGAATATTTGTAGGACAATTACTATATATTGGATTGGACAATGAAGAATATTAAAAAATAAAGAATATTTAAAAAAAATAATTTCTGAACTTGTCACGCACAAATACAAATAACGATGAGATTAAGCAATACCCAGTTTTGTGACTTTAAGTTGTGTATACATTCAAGGCAATAGCTAGCATAAAACACTTTTGAATTTTCTTTTTTTTTTTTGAAATCATAAAGCTAAATGTTTTTTTCATTGAGTATTTTCTACCGCAAATATCGGATAATGATGTTTATAATCATGAGACGATATTACCCATTAAATGTTTTCAATGTTTTCATCTTTATTTTTAGTGGTGGCAGAAAGTAAAAAGTGACTGCCCATAGTTGGTTAATTGAACCATGAAACACTAAGAGAGTTTTTTGACTTATTTGGCGAAATAGCTTTTATTAAAGAAACTCAGCCAGAAATGATTTATCGCAAAGTTGACTTATAAAAGTTATTGCTTCTGATAAAGAAGTACCTAATAATCTTTTTAAAGTTACAGGGGCGGATCCAGCATTTTTTGGTCTTCGAGCTAACCTCCAGACATGGAACAAACTCTAAACATTTAATGTTTATACTTATGATAAATAATCATACTTTGCAAATAATTGCGTTGATTGGAGCCTGAGAACAAAAAGGAAAAAATTATGCCGCCACTGTCCGAAACGTGAGAGCAATAAGTTGATAAACTATTTTTATAACTATTTTTAACCCGACTTATATTCATCAATAAATATTAGGAACATTATTTTTAAACATTAAATCATAGAAACGCATTATAAAAAGTTTACTTTAGTTAATAAAGCGTTTTATAAAAAGTTTAACAAATCAATCTTTTAGAGAATTTTTATTTAAAAAGTTTTATCAAACTTTTCGAGCATAAAGTTTTAACTTATTTATCTTTAATTGATGTTTCTTTTAAAAGTTAACAATGTTTTGATAATCGATTTACTATTAGTACATAAGTCTTAAAATATCATTGTAATGACTCATTACTTGCTGTTTTTAAAAGGAATTATCTGAGCGAAATTTTTTGCTCTACTTTACTAAATAAGGAGTAAATTAGTTTCGTTTTGCTTCCAATTTAAGAATAATTTTTTTTTTTTTTAAAGCGTACCAACGATATTTTATAACGAGAAATAAGTTCACTTATATTTTATTAATGCATTCTATTGACTAAGTATAGGATTACAACGAGAATAATATGGCATTTAATATTACAGTAGCGTTCATTTCTAAAGATTAATTATAAATTTTGATTATCACGAAAATTTGAACAATGAATTTCTTCACTTCTCACAAAATTAGAATAAAAGCAATCTTTAAAAACCATTTTATTTAGTTAATCAGTAGTTCTTATTTGTCACTGAAGAAAATTTTTCTTATTTTTAGTTTTATTTCAGGCTAGAATATGTCCGTCGTAACAATTGACTATGATGTTGACCACGATGAAGATTCTTTACTGAATGAGCACGTTCCATTATGTACAAATAAATTTCCACTAAAAACAAGTACAAAAATGGGCTTGATCCACACCGAGAGTTTTAGTAAGTATCTTGCTAACATATCTAGTTAAAAAATTTATAACGTTTTGTATATTACAATAAACTTTTCTAATTCATTAATTTAATTTTTTTATATAATTTGTTTTTAAGTATATTTCTAACATTTTTTGGCAACAAATTATTTTGCACATTAAAATTAAAGGTGCCGATAGAAAACAAATATATAAATATATACATATATATATTATATATATATATATATATATATATATATATATATATATATATATATATATATATATATATATATATATATATATATATATATATATATATATATATAATGTATATAAACAAAAAATTAACCTAATTCCTGATATTATTACCACTGTGCGTTTAAATCTGTTTCAAACACAACTATATATATATATATATATATATATATATATATATATATATATATATATATATATATATATATATATATATATATATATATATATATATATATATATATATATATATATATATATATATATATATATTTATATATATGTTACATTTTAAATATTCATTTTGTTAGAATATTTAAAATACAAATATATAATAATAAAAATTGTTTATATAATGATCGTTATTAAAAAATAAAAGAACACGGATATATATATATATATATATATATATATATATATATATATATATATATATATATATATATATATATATATATATATACATATATATATATATATATATATATATATATATATATATATATATATATATATATATATATATATATATATATATATATATATATATATATATATATATATATATATATATAAATTTTGATTCGAGTTTACAAAAACTAAAAACTAATTGAACTATGTTTTGGATTTATCTTAATATGCTGATATAGGATTAAGTATTTTTTCGGATAACGTAAGTTCTAGGGTTTATTAGTATCATTATTGGTTGTAAAAATATTTTTGTCGGTATGTGTTTAAATACATTGTTGAGTTTGCGATCGGGTGTTAAATTTTAAGGTTGCATGGGAAGCGTTTTTTTTTGTGTAAACTAAATGTGATTGGATATGTCGGATTTGTTTTGACTTTGTGCTTTGTTAGTTACAACAGAGAGTGAATATTGATGCATTTTTCTTTTATTTTGAATTTCATTATTATGAATTATTCTACCGATGATTGTATATTTTTATATGCGTATAATAATATCTCGTTGTGATAAATTGTGTTTAAATTGTAAAAAGGGTAAAAAAAACTTTTCTTTAGTTCAATTGCAAAAAAAACCGGAATTTTTCTAACTAAACGGGACATTATAAGACCACTTCATAAAAGAATGTTGGACTTGACAGCTGTAATTTAAAAAATACGTTAAAAGATACGTTTGAGAGTTCTGAGGTATACAATATTAAAATGTTCATCAATTGGAAAGGTACTCTAGAACGATGTATCATGAGTATCAATACCAGCTACTTTAAGTTAGTTATCACCTTTGTATTTCTTGCACGTAGTTAATTTTCACTTTTTCATTAATCACTTTTTATTTTAGGATAATTACCGAGTTGGGGGATTGCTCTCAATTTGAGTTAATAAAAGGTGATAAATCGGCTTTTAATGTCTAGCAAAATTATATCTGAGAAATGCGCACTTATTTTCTTAACTCTAAAGTCAGTTACCTTTTATCGTGAACGAATTAAAAAATATCAGTAATTACAATTACTGATATCTAAAAATTCAAATTACCAAGTTTGAAGTTGGTAGTTGGCGTGTATTTAAACAGTTATAGTAATCTGGAAGGCTGAAAATGAACCAAGTGAGTTTTAGTAAAAGCTAGCAAAACTAGTATGCACTTTAAGCTGTTGTATGGCACCAATTGTGTAATCTTACCGGATTTTACTATTGTGTTTGGATGGATTTGGTTGTGTTTTTTGTTTTTATTTTGCTTTTTTACCTTTTTTTTTATTGTTAGGGTGGGGGTGGCGTGATGGAGGAATGAAAATATTGTAATCACTGATATTTTTTAATTCGTTTACGATAAAAGGTAAATGACTTTAGAGTTTAGAAAATGGGCCAAGAAGACAATAGACCAAGTGGTTTTAAGGTTTCTGCAATACAATACTTGTTGCATTTGTTAGAATGACAAGACGGTTTAGATGTCAGGTCGGATCATGTTTTATTTGCCATAAATGTTATTTATTTCATAGCGGATTGATATCACATTCATTGAAGCCACCAGCTTTGTAAATAAGTTGTGGGTTGTTACTAAAACATTTGATTGCTAATCTTCAAGGGCGTACAAGAGCTGTGAGATATGAACTGTGAGACTAGTTTTTCTGACTATTTTTTCTGATCCCGTTGGCGTATATAAACGGCAGTCATTAAAACACATGAGTATCCGCCTAATAGTCTATGAAGGTGGCAATGATTATCTCATAGTTTACGTGTTTTTAAAGTCATTTAGTTATATCCCAGGATTCGCAGGCAACAGGCGTAGAAGATAATTCTTGAATGGTATTTGTGTAGTTATGTTACCCTAATATTACCACTCTATTCCTTTTTCAGACAAAAGTTCGAAAGACAAAACAGACAGTTTAAAATAATTTATTGGGTAATAGTTACATTCTTGAATACAATTGGTTAGAGTTTTACGGACTGTGGAAAAATTCGAGATATGCATTTGCTCTATCATATACTTGAACATAGTGTTCTAACAAATGATTGATGAAACGTGTGTTGGTAGGGAGTATAATTAGCAATTTCATTTAATTGAATAGACTATTATTAGATTGAAAGGTGATAGAGGATTTAAAGTATTGTTATAATATATTTGTTAAATATTCACTGAATTAGAAGAAAATGCTGATGGTTGATGATTTTTAAGTTGTTAATAAATGTCATTATTTAGGTGTTTTTTAAATATAGTTCTTAAGGTGCTCTAAGAAGTTCTTAAAATCTATTCATAGTGCATTGAATTCGATTTTTAAGTAAGAACTCTAACCACTGCATCTTAGCTGCTTAAAGTTCTATTTTCAAGGGCAAAAACACCTTTGACAAATTGTGTTTTATGGTAACTGCAGTTTTTAGTACATTATGGTTTATTTGTTTTCACTTGTAGACTTGACAACGTTTGATTCAGAAACATTTTTTATTTATGATATGATCCTGTGATCTTCTAGAAGTCCTGCCGGTAATATATTCAATGTAAATTTACCTTGTACATATTCTGGCAAATAAAAATAATAATAATTAAATATATATATATATATATATATATATATATATATATATATATATATATATATATATATATATATATATATATATATATATATATATATATATATATATAAATTTGTGCTTTTTTAAACCCTTACAAAATATTTATAATGTTTCAAAAAATTATAACTTTTAAAATTTTTTACCAAAGCACTCAGTGAACTATTTTAGTAAACAAATTAAGTACAACCAGAAGCTGAAATAAAGTTTTGTTTTTGTTAAAGTTTTGTCTTAAAAAATATAACAGTCTAACACAAATATATTTTTATCAAAAAACAAAGCCTAATAAAATAATAACTAAAAAAATATTTAAAAACGAGATTTTTCAAAAAAATTCGAGAACGATAAACTTTTGTTTTTTATTTATAGTTATCTTTATTATAGTTTCTATAAAATATTTACGAATATAAAAATCTTAAGAAAACAAGATAATTTGTTAAAAGACTTTTCTCGTGGAGATCAAACTTCCACTATTTCGTGTAGTTATTAAGCTGTTCCCAGAAATCCTAACGGTCTTTTCATAAAGAACCGCGGAAGAGCATTTATTAGAAAGTTCACGCCTAGAACTCAAAAAAACAAAAAAAACAACAGAGCACTCGAAAAAACATGTTTTTTATGATTTGTTTTTAGTATTCTTTAAATTTTAAATATTATTGAACCCTGAAACAGTTCCTCTCTGACAAACCTTCAAATATACATGTTTTTTTTTAATTTAATATAATGTATATTACCCTATATATTAGCTATAATCATTTACCCATCAATGTTAAAAAAAACACTGCGAAATACAGGCATAATTATGTTTTGTAAAAAATAAATAATTATGTCCATAGTATGTCAACAAAATAAGAAGTCTGGAAAACGTTGACAAATGTTGACAAGAGGGAGGGGGAAGTCAAAAAGGTGACGTCAACAATGTTACAATTTATAATAACTTAACATAAAAAATGAAAAAAAAGGTTTGTTTTCTTCAATTTAATTTTCGTGATTGGGGAGGGGGTGGTGGGAAGAGTCTCTGGAAGTTGATGAAAAGTTGTTTGTAGGAAGAGGGGGTGGGGAAGTAAAAATTGTCAAAAAATAGTTGAGATAATTAATTTTGTTATGATTCAATTTTGTTAGCCTGTAATAGGTATTTTCAAACTGGTTGTAGTATTATTCATATTGTTATGTTGTTTATATGCTCCAATACTGTCCAATAATTAAGTTTTATCACTTCCCCCAACAAATCAAAAAATCATTTAGTAGACAATCTTTAATCAACAATTGAAAGCGAAATAAATTTTGATTTTAATTACAGGCCCGGATTCAGACACAAGCAGGGGGTGCCATGGCATAGGGGTCCCTCAAAATTAGGGGGCCCCAAAAAGCTAAAGAAAAAAAAAGACATGTTTTTTTATATTGATAACTTAATTATAGTAGACATTTTGATCAAGAACAAAAAAAAAATCCAAACAAAAAAGTTTTGTGAAAGATGAACTTTTTACGGTTAATTCAGAAATTTTTTTTATAAAAGTTTCTATCAAAAATGTGATTTAGAAATATCTACGAATCAAAACAAAGACAAGAATTAAATCCGAGCAATGTTACTGGAGTTACTGAACCGTTACTAAACATTCAGAACCTGTTGTTTAAAAAACAATTTACTTGTAACTAAAAACTTTTTTTTTTTAAATCTGTGTTTTCTTTTGCAAAAAAAAAAAAAAAAAAAAAAAATGTTTTTACTTGTATGTTGTTTTTTGTTTGTTTTCTAACGTGTTTTTTTTGAATTTTGAATTTTTTAAAATTAAAAAAACTTATTACATGTTATATTTAAATTTATTATAATGTCAACAATTAATAAAAAATTTAAAATAATTATCTAAAACCTTTAGACAATTATTTAAAGCTATAAAAAAAAAAAAAAAAAAACAGATAAAAATAGGGAACTTTTTCACAACCCTAACTCGTAAGCTTCCTTGCTTACGAATGTCGCTTATTGAGCTAGAGAGGTGGCGTCGAACCTCAACCTCTGGGTTCTTAGCCAGAACTCTAAATACTGCGCCACGGTTACTTAAAAGTATAAATGTATAAAACAAATATTGGCTAGCGAGTAGCTGCTAACGACATTTTGCTACATGTCAAAAGTTTGCGAAAGCTAGGCTAGTCGTAACGGTAGGCTTTCTTGTCAAACCCTTATTCCGACGCTGTCCTTAAGGTCCGAAAATGTGAAAAAACGACTTTATTTAAAAGAGAACCTGCCTACCCCAAACCCTCAGTCGTTGTTTACGCACTCCGCTGCATGTTCTCTCTAAAAATCAGGCGGTGAATGTGCACACCGCTGCGCAAATCCCTATATACCTATTTCCTAGAAATACAAGTTCGCAGACGCAAAAGACGCTCAACGTCAGAATAGGGGTTTGACAAGAGTGCGTTCCAATTGTAACAACACATACAAAATGTTGTTGAAATATCGAAAACTTTTAAGTTTTGATATGAAGCTATCGACATTTATTTTCATGTATAAATGTATAAATAGAAAACAATAACAAATAATACAAGTAAGAATAAATAAATAAAGATTAGAGCAATTTTATCAGCAAGAGAATAAATAAAGTAAGAATAAAAAAATAAATAAAGATAAAAGCAGTTTTATCTGCGAGAGATAAAAAAAATAATAATAATAACATTTTTTTAAAATTACTTTATAATTGTTACGAGGGTAATTATGTGGTTTCTAGTCACCAGATTTCTAGCCACCAAGTTCCAAGTCATTGCACAGTAGGAAAAAAAAAAAAGTTTTTTTTTCCATCTTTAATTTATTCTTTTATTAGACTTTACAAAAGTATTTTCACCTCGCAAAAAAATCATAAACTTGTTAAAAAGAAGTTGGAGCGAAAAATCTACAGATATATACTCACATTGTGACAGCGACTGTTTTTCTATAAACGGAGAAATAAAAACTTCGATTACAAGTACTCAAGAAGCTTTTGAATCATTTAATCTCAGGTTGTTAAATAAGCAAATGTCTCTTTTACTGGCCGTTAAATATATTTTTGATATTTTGTGATATACACATTTAAATGTCAATATATAACGTAATTTATTATAATTTATAACAAAATATAAACAAATTTATTATTTTGTTCTAGGAATATTTCTGATAATGAAAAAGACACAAAGTTCAGAACTCGCTCAAAAAGTTTAAGCTTCATTGTACGCGCAAGGAAAAAAGTCGATCATCTGCGACGAATTCCACGACAAACTTCATATAAATCGCATCATTTAAGTTTTCGGAATAACAATAACAATCGTTTATACGACGTTTGCGAAAACCGAAAGCTGATTTGCACAGAGGACATTGATTCATTCGAAGAAGAAAAAGTCATAAGAGAGATAAATAAAACAACGAAGAAGAAACTATATTGTCTCTTTAATGAAAAAAATAAACTTAAAAACAACTTAACTTTAATTAACAACCAAAAAGAAAACGAAGAAGAAGAATGCTTACTAAGTTTCTAATTTTTCACAAAAATCTTAAAAAACTCTTTTTACTTCATGATACTACATGAAGTAATATTTTTTTTTATATATATAAATAATAAAATTTATATATATTTTATGCAAACATTATACAGTTACAGTACAACAAATTTATAACATTTAGAAATAATATGTATTAAACTATCCATTTATAAATATAAAAATGAATTTTTTTTTTTTTTAAACTTCGAATGTTAAAAACAGAACATCAAAAATAAACTAATGATTTGTAGAATTCATCAAAAATTGTATGCGTGTGTTTTTGCGTGTGTTTGTCTGTGCTAAGTTCCATACTAGAATCTTTCAACTTTTTAAAATAAAGCCTTGAATTTAGGGATTTCACAAAAAAAATGTTTTTCATCTCTGACATAAAGCTAAAAATTTCAAAATAGAAGCAGAGTGATAGCAAACTCATATTACTGTTAATGATAAAACTAATCTTATCGTTAATGATAAAACTAATCGCAGTTTTGTTTCAAATCGCAAAACATTCAACGCTTGCATGGTTAAGAGCAATAGATCTGTTCCCAGTGGAACCGCATGCTTTTTGCCGCAATGCAATCTGGACCTTCCTCAGGGGTAATTTAAAAAAGTACTTTTATAGCAAATGCTGAGATAAAAGCAACTTTTTTTACTTGTTATAAAAATTTAAATACCAAACTCAAATGTTAGCTTTTTGTAAAAAAAAGAATAATGGAGATTATTGTGCTGTTTTTGGATGCCGTAACTATCTGAGAAATGATAAAGAAAAGTTAACTTAAATTAAAATAAAAAACTTATGAATAAGTCTTAATTAAAGTTATATAAAATGTTTTGTTTTTAAAACACTGTAGCAATGTATAGGTTTCATGAATAAATACACTATAAATTTTATAAAGTTTATTTAAATGACAATGTTCATTATTTGCGACGTTTGTCAGTCGTGATGAAATATATACAATTATCAATTTTATAACTATTATACAACGATATAAACTTACAGTAAATTTTGTTGTGTTAAATAAATGGGATTTTGTATCACTAACATAATTAAGCAGAAAGTCGTAAAAGTGTTTTTCAAAGCTCATTTTTTTTAGACATGTTATCAAAAGTCATGTAGGCATACTGCGATGGCATTCTCCCAAAAATCTTGAAAATGCAAAATCATGGACCAAATCCATAAATAGAACTATTGCGGATAGAAATGGCAAAAAAAAAACAATTACTCGTGTAGGATCTAATAAAGTCTGTTCTAACCATTTTGCTGCAGGTTATTACAATACAGAATGCAACTTCCCAACTTTATACATGCAGGGATACAACATAAGAAATTATAGAGTTAAACGCAAACCACCGACTATAAGAGAACCACCATAAAAAAATTAAAAAAAACTCGATACATCATCCCATTATGTCAGCACTATTCATTTTGATACAGTTGAACAAGAAATTTGTACAGGGACTCTAGAGACTAATGATTTTCATAATAATTGTGTTACAAATGCGGAAAGCAGTTCTCTTTGCAGGATGTTTCAAGAATATATTCGTTTACTTTTACGTGAAAAGCAAGATGATTGTTTTAATTTATTTCACCAACTAGACTCGGCAAATAAAACAATAAAAAATCTTAATAAAGAAATCATTGATTTAAAAAAAAAATTATCCTATTCTGAAATAAGTAAAAATGATGCATTAGGGGTTGTCCATTAATTACGTCAAAAAAATAGAGGCAGGGGGGGGGGGGGTCTGAACTTTTTGACAAGGGGAAGGGGGGGGAGGAGGTCTATCAAAGTTGATGTCAACAATTTTTTTTTTTGCTTAAATAACAGAAAATTTGTAGCGTAGCTTCTTTGTAGGGGGGAAGGGGCGTTTATCAAAAATTGACGTAATTTTATAGGGGGCCTCTGGAAATTTGACAAACTGTTGACAAGGGAAGGGGGAGGGGGTAAAAATTTCAAAAAATTTGTTGACTTAATTAATGGATAGCTCCTTACTGAAAAGTATGACGGGTATACTGCCGCCCTAAGTAAAAACGCAGTAAACAACAAAAATGACATTCTGAGAAAAAGCCACTTTTAAATTTTGTGTGAACCTTACTTGAATATAATAATTAGACTTTCATGCCACATAGATTATGAATACAAAATACTTCCTTTATTCAATGAAAATTTATATTTAACCAAAACATCAATATATAGGCTGAAAAATCACACACTGCTAATTTACACAATATTTCACAGCCGTCATCCTAGATAAAAACGCAGTATAATCAATACAAAAATGCATGCATACTCCAATATATATTTTTTCATAAATATCAATGTGTTTTTATAAAAGGCATTGTTAATCACAATCTAGCTTGATAATCAATGGTTTCCAAACAAACCTTAATTAATAGTGGAGTTATAACATAGAGCTAGACTGCGTCTAATTAATAGGAAGAATTTTGAGTAAAGAATACTTACAACCAACAAATATGATATTTATAACAACCAGTCCAACCCAGCAACATATTTTTTCCACGAATATCAAATAATACCATTCTCTTACCATTAGTTAGGAGTGCACTAGGGGCTCAAAAACCACAATTTACCCATTATCAAATTAATAATCAGTCTTTCCATCTCTTATTTTGTCAACTTCATTCAAAGTGTGTATAAGGTAGATAAAGTAAATTAGATTTTTTAAAACGTTTTATTAGAATAAAAAAATACATATATAATTGAAAAAATATATAATATAAATGAAATTATATATTTTTTAAATTGTTCCAGAAAATTTTCCTGCTGGCTGGCATTAAACTCGATAAATTCGACAAAATATCATCGATTTTGTCTTGAGCCACCCCACGAGGCTTGTCCAACTGTGGAGGTTTTGATATTTTCTTTGTTGATGATTTCTTACAGAGGAAGTCTAATTGTTTTGTAAACTCCTCCGTATGAGAAGTTTTGTATTCCATTGTAAATTTACCTCTGCGTGTTCTCACTGCTACAATGTTCTTCAGATATATTTTTTCAGAAGATTTCTTTAACTTCTGTTGGGATTTGTTATCTTTCCACATGTATATATCTGAAAATGTCATTTCTTTCACATCCACCTTCCCTTTATTAGCATTCTGTACAGCTTTGGAAAAATCAGGAAAATCGTAAACTTTTTGTTTCTTCATGGAGAGCTCCACCTGATGATAAAAACTGTCGGCACTCATATATGTATGTCCTGGCTCAAAGTATTTTAGTTGTATTTCATCCATATCTACTTCATCACTATTTACAATATATACTAAAAAAGACAGAAGGTACCAATTTTTATTTTGGCTCGAACAATTGTCGAGCCAAAGTGTAATCTTTTTCGAGTCCCTCTGCCTCAAAAAAAAAGCATAAAATGTACTAACAATGTCCTCCTTGTTCCTCCCAGTTACACCTTCATGCCATATACATGCCATGGGAACACCATGTGCTTTCTTCCCAAGAGGAACGAAACTCTCGTGGTAAGCCACTATCCTCTTTGTAAATATAACTTTTTTAAATGCATCCAAACGTGGCAGCATGATGACTTTCTGTAAATCTACAGAGAAAATGCTGCCATCATTGAGCTCCGCATCCTTTTTGTATAATTCTCTTGCTTCTTCATATCTTATCTTGTGATTAATATATTGTTGGCAATCATCACAATCATTATTTAAATTATCTGCATCGTGACCGTGTAAACAAAATTTTTCACAAAATTCACACTCTTCATGGCCCAAAGTTGCAAATGAAATATTTTTTTTCTTTATAGCTAACCTATAATATTCGTATGATATTTGTTGTTCTGGGTATTTGTGTGTAAAATCATTGTGCATCATGGTGATGGTCACATCACTTGGCAAATATCTTCTAATAGGAGCATGTTCCCTCCTGTAATGAGATACAGTTGGTTCAAATGATTCGATGTGCGCATCTATTAAATCGTCATGTTTATACTTCCTATCCGAAACATGTTTGCCACGTCCATCAGCTAATGGGGCTATTGCGGCAGTTGGAGTTTTGTTAAGGACCTCAAATACTGCACGGTCATTATTTGGTTTGTATCCTAGTGTTGTTAGGAAAAACTTCTTGCACACGGACTGCTTGATTGAGTCTTTATTACTGAAGAAGTATTTCCAGGTGTTTTTTCGTGCACCATCTTCAACACTTTTCCTCTTTACAGGCATGCGATCACATGTATTGAGGATAAATGTCTTCCTCTCCTTCCAGCCTAATTTTAAATATTGGGCGTTAATTTCAATACGTCGTCCCTCATTTATTTTGCTAATGCATTTTTTTTTGCAACAATCAACAATTGGCTTTAGTGCATACTTTGCTTTATATAGTTGCATCTTACGTTCTTTTCTTTCTTTGACACTTAAAGAATTACTTCTGCGAATTCGTATAGTTCCCTTTTTAGTAAATTGGACCGATGGAGATGCAGCTTCGTCCAATGGTTTATCCACAGATTCCTTTAACACTGAAACAAGATAAAATTTAATTATTACTTCGTTTAAGTACAGAACACGGTACAACCTATGTTATACATATAATTTATATGTTATATAAAATATACATAATAGATATACCAATTTCTTCTCCATTTTCCACCACATCCACTCTACTCTTTAAGACATCTTCGTCCATTGAAGGTTGAAGTGTTGTGACAGACTCATCTAAAACTGATAATTTAATGCATTGTATATCTGCATAAAAAATGTCACACAAGTTATCATATAATAAAAAAAACACGTAATATTCTTACCAATATCTCCTCTATCCTCCATAATTTCTGCCTCATACACTACGACTTCCATTTTATCAACAGTTACTTCAGATACAACTGTTCTAGAATCCTGTAAAAGAAAGGGTAAAACATAACCAAGAAGAACCATACATTAGGTATTTACACAGTTATTTGTAGATTTTTTATAGTGAAACCTTGAGAAATTTGTAGAATATTTATTATTATGATCAATAAACACAATACACATAACCTTAGATACATAAAATAGATTGAGACTACGGAAATATATAAATAAAACACTTACATCTAACAATGAAGATTTACATTTGTCTGAAGCACGATGTAGCATATATTGAGTCCTTGACATCCAAGTGTTGCAAATATCACACAACATTTTATGATTTTTATAACACTCTACGATAAATTGAATAGTCCTAAATATAATTCACTATAAAAATAATCTTTACCGAAAAAAAAGAAACACCAAATACGAAAACACGAACGAACAACCAACGCACACACTAATCAGATGACGCTTGCAGTTGCAATGACGCCGTATTCGTCATAGATAACCCACGTTTTTGTCTGTGTTGCCAAGTTAAAAAGCAGTAAAGCAATGATACTATGAAAAAATGCAGTACGTACGTTGCAAATACTGCATTTTTAATTTGTATTGCGATAATGCTGCGTTTTTACTAAGTATTACACTATATTTTTTTAACTTACGGCAAAATGAACTATGGGTTTGATGACTTCGGAATATACCACAATATTTTTATATAGAGCGTTATTACACAGAAAACGATGTTAAAACGTTTGGTGCAATAATCTCGATTTTTCAATTTTTGCGATTACTGCGTTTTTTCTTAGGACGGCAGTATACAAACAAGTTTAATGTATGATTGGTTATACAAGCGCTATGAACATAAAGTTCCATTTCTCCATTTACTACGCTGCACAGAAGGTCAATGTGAGCGACCAAGTATTGCCAAAGCACAAGCTCAAACATATTCAAGTTATAAAAATCGAAATACTTGGAAAAAAGCTATTAGCATAGCACCTTCCGGAGTGATTAATTTTATATCTCAAACATACGGTGTTTCATCTTCGGATCGTTATATTGTCGAAATATCAGGTTACCTCGACACATTAAATGAAGGAGATGTTGTAATGGTGGATAAAGGATTCAATATCAGTGATTTTTTAATTGCAAGGAAAGTTAAATTAGTAATACCACCATTTCTTAAAAACAAAGGGAAGTTTACCAGTAAGTTAATTTCTAAAACTGCCCTGATAGCCGAGCAAGAATTCACATAGAGCGTGCAATTGCTCACGTAAAAGACTTCCGATTGCTGCAAACACCTTTACCGCTGAGTATAATTAATTTGCTTGATAAAATCTTTATTAGAATTGCAGCTATTACTAATTTAGCACCTCCTTTAGTTGATTACAAAAATCATAACAATATTTAAATTACAAGACATTTTAAAACATTAAAATATTTCATGTCTAACTAATTAAAATAAGTGTAATAAAAAAAAAAAATTTTTAGTTTACAGACCTTATTTTATTAATAAATGTTATGAAATTAAAAAAAAAAATTCATCGTCAATTTTATAATTGTCACAAACTTTAAGTAAAGTTTCATTCAAAACAGACTCTACAGTATTGGAGATTACTTCATTTATCATATAAGGCAAGATAATAGTTTTGTAAAAATTTTCAATTTTTTTAACACAACTTTGCCAAAAACCAATTGAAAAATAAACGTGATAACTATATAAGTCTTTTGAAGTTCCAACAACAAAATCACAATATAAAAAACCTGTTGAAGCCATTTGACACTGCACTTGACTATAATAAGAATGATGAGGATCAAGTACAATTGTATTTTTTCCAAATATAAAACATGCGCCTTTGATAGCGGTAAGTTCTGGAATTGTTAATCCTCTATGAGTCCAAGGTCATTTAACCTCTACACATCCAGTGCCACAACAATCACAATGAAAAAGGGAATAAGGTGATGCACTAACTATTGGTAAATCTTTATTTAAAAATAAACCACGCTCAGTCACTTTCATTAATCTATGATTTTTTTAATTTTCTTTTGAGTATGCTTCGTGTACATCTTTTTCATGACGTAAACTCCAGACAGTAGCTTTTGTTTTAAAAACTTTTGACTTACATAATACGCCAATAATAATGGATGTTGTTTTTTTTGGACATAAAATTTCTAGGTCATTATTTACTTTACGAACAACACTATAAACTTTTTATGCAGTGACTCTGCCTTTGCGGTGTTTATACCAATCATTTTTACATGACTGCTTTCTTGTTAAGTGTTCTAGTTCAGAAATTTCGTCAAAATTTGTAGTTAACTGCATCGATAAAACTTTATATATAATCTTACAATCTAAATAAGTAACAACTTTATGAGGTGTTTTAGGGGGAGATGAATGCAAGGAAGTATTAACTTCGATTTCTTGAGCAACATTGCAAATATTAGGTATAGGAACAACGTTTTTTGATTGCATAAGCACGAAACATCCACAATTATAATTTGTTATTTGTGCCAAAGAATCTACCTCTTCCTTTGTCATGGAAACTTCTCGTTGATTTGTGGCTCGCGGATCAAAATTTAAAAATTCTTCAAGTTTATCAAAATTTTGCTGCATGCTTCTAATGTTTATGTGTAATATAGAAAATGAACCATCATCTGTTTTTACTTTGAAATCCAAAGAATCAATATACGGTGTGTTAATTAAGTTGATTTGAGTTTCTTAAAAAATATTTATGTTTTCTTCAGATTATTTATAAAGTTGTCCTCAAAAAGATCTAAACTTAAATTATGAAAATCTAATTTCTCTGAAAAAAGCGACGCCATCTTTTTTTTTTTTAAAAAGTAATCAATTTAAAAATATTCAATATAATAAAAAAAAAAACTCAAAACGCTTACTCGTTGACGCATGTCGGATTAACATCTGTGTTGCGGGTGTTTTCTCGAAATTCGTGAACAATAAATAAGTTTGTTGTAAACAACTTTCGCAAAATATCCATTTTGACGATGTATCTTCGCCTGATCAAAAAGTTCTTTTCGAATTTTTCGAGTTGTGAAACTAAAATCTTCGTTTAAAAAAATATTGGCTCCTTTTAATTTAACTGCTCTCTCCATAATTGTTTTTTTATCTTCGTAATCACGGAGTTTCAAGACAATTGTTCGCTCTCGTTTATCATTAGTTGCTCCCACTCGATGAGCCCGTTCAATTATAATGTCTTTTTCAATATCAAGGTTTTCTTTAAATAGTTGTTTCACCCCTTTTTTTTGTGATTTCCCAATCTTTTTCTTCACTATTAAGATAAAAAAAAATTTTTAAATTATTTTACTGTTAGAAAATCGCGTCTGTTCGCCACGATGTTCACAACGCACATTGTCTCCTTCGGAGAATTACGTGAAAAATAGTTCCTCGTGAGAAAATTTATGCTGAGGACCAGTGGCGTAGCTAAGCTACTTAAGCTTTTTTTTGTGCACTGCAGGGCAGGTAATAAAAATATTAAACAGTAACAACATAAATTACTAATTAATATATGGTGTAGGTTTGGCTAATAAAACGAAATAGAGAAGATTCAAGGGTTTATAATATAAAGGTTGGGCCTACCATTATTTTAAAGCAATTGATGCAATTTTCTTACACAGATTTCTGGTAAGGATTCGAGGACCTCCTGAGCTTGAGGGCCCCGTGGCACTGCCCCACGTAGCCCCTAGGTAGCTACGCCACTGCTGAGGACTCTTGTTTACTCAAAAACTTTTCGACTCTTCTCTCATTAAAAAACAAAAGCAAAAATTTAGAAGGTTTTCAATAATTTTCAGTAATCTCGGTTTTTATATTTTCACATTTATTTTCTCGGTATTCCGAGGCCGAGACCCCGAGACGAGCGAGATCTGAAAGTATAAGTAAACATGTGACATAAAAATTTTAAATTGATTATTTGCTAAATTGTTATATATCAATAGAAAGGGCTAAAATACAGTATTTTAAAGGTTAAAAAATTGTCAAAATCCAACATACCTACCAAAAGTCATGGCGTTTTAAGTACCGATTTTTCAATATATGGATTTGTTGAAGAAACTTTGGTCAAGTTTTAATTTTCCTTTATTAAAATTGTTATAACTTTGTCACTACTTATCTAAAAAACTATATCTTGGTATCAAAAGATAGGTGTATGAAAAGGCTATGTGTTTACGTTGGTCACTAGTCAACAGACGTTTCCAGGGAGTTAGAGGGGGGAATAAACCACCACTTTTACCATTTAATAAATGCAAATTTCATACACAAAAGTGTAAAATGAAGTAGTAGTTTTTTTATACAAAAAGTTGTTATCATTTTATTTTACATCGCAAACAAACATTAGGAGTTTATCTTTTAGTTAGGGTAGATGTGATGGTGATGGTTCAATCCACTCTAGTATAAAAAAAAAAATTATTCTTATAAAGATTTTATTATCAAAACTATTATAACAATTATAACAAATTAAATTTATGATCTACTTGATTACAACATATACCAGAGGTGCATAGGTTGACATATAGTGGGAAGGGCATATGGTTCTCCCCCACCGTCTTTGATCAACCCCTGCTTTTACTGTATGCTAAAGTTACTAAAACAAAAATTAAATGCTACTATGATACCTCATGTGGCTTGGTATAACCAGAGTGGGAGCTGCTCTACCATCTTAACTTTCCGAAAATACATATTTTTTAAACTAAAATAAAATAATGATGCAATTTTATAATTACTTGCATCGTTGTGAAATGTGAAAAAGTTATTATTAAAAACATGCCAAAAATTACCAATTCATCGGTGTTGTGTTCATTTCCTTTTGGAAAAGGGTGTTTGTCCCCTCCCAACCAAGTTTTAAAAAAATTTATGAAATCAAAATTTTAAAAATTTGCATTACCAAAATAATATCAAACATTACAACATTATAAAATAATACAACACAACCTTATAAAGTAATATTATGCAACTGCTATTCATGGAATACTATGACTGTTTTAAAATTAAAATGTAATAAAAATCTTCTTAACAAGAAATAATTTTTAATTACACAGAGGATGTAAATAGTTTTCTCTTGGCTTTTAGTAAATGAATAAAAATTAAAGTTCTAATTATGAAACTATATAATAATAATTTTTAACAATAGACACCACGTGAGGGTAAGCCAGAGCCGTCTATCAAAACTTTTATGCAAGTTTCATCACTTGCGATACCTTTTTGCAAGTCACAACACCTGCGGTATCTATTTTGGCATTATTAAACATAAAAATTATGAAAATAGTATACATACAAGACTATCAACAAATAACACAAATTAACATTAAGAAAATATTCATTATCCTGAAACAACATCAGCAGATTTTGCTAAAACAATTTTCAGAAGATGCAAAATTTACACAAATGATTGAATAAAAATATGATATTCATACCTTAATGTAATATGTAATGTTGATATCCAAATCTAACTTTTATTAATTGTTCAATATCAATGAAATTTAAAAAATTTTTAGAACTAAAAATTAGGGTCGGAACAATTTTAAACTAAACTTAGTTTCAAATAATGATTTACTTCTAAATATATATTTAAATATATTATTATTAATAATGATAGTTAAATAATTACTAATACGTTATTACAAATAATAGATATTTATTAGATTTTTTTATTATTTTTATTTTTATTTTAATTCACCTCCTCAAGGCCGAGAAGGCCACTACAGACGAGGAGGCTACTTATTTATGGCTATAACCCTCTCTCAACTCAATAACTCCGAAACACGACACTTTTTATGGTATCTGCGACTAAATATTTTTTCTGAAATTTGGCATATGCTTAGATAATGTGTGCAAAAAATCATCCTGGTAGTTTTGAAAAATATCCCAACATTCCTTCAAAATTAATTTTACACGAGTTCAGCAACTAAATTTTCAACATCAATAAAGTCAAATCAAAATGTGTCAACTATACATAAATACCACATTAAAATCAAGCTCCACCTTTCTATTTTTCCAAAATGATTTAAGTTAATATACATTTCGAAGAAGAAATGTCACAAAAAAACGTTTCTCTAGCGCTACTTAAAAAAAAGTTCAAAAAATGTCGCACAGAATTTTAGCACTTTTTTCGGCTCCGTAAAACGCGATATTCGCGTACCTAATCATAGTACTTTAGTTATTCTTTATTACAAATGATACATACTTTTACTTTTATTACAGATGATACATACTTTTGCTATTATTACAGATGATACGTACATTTGATAATATTACAGATGATACATACTTTTGATATTATTACAGATGATACATGCTTTTGCTATTATTACAGATGATACATACTTTTGATAACATTACAGATGATACATACTTTTGATAACATTACAGATGATACATACTTTTGATATTATTACAGATGATACATACTTTTGCTATTATTACAGATGATACATACTTTTGATAATATTACAGATGATACATACTTTTGATATTATTACAGATAATACATACTTTTTTTATTATTACAGATGATACATACTTTTGATAATATTAGAGATGATACATACTTTTGATAATATTACAGATAATACATACTTTTTTTATTATTACAGATGATACATACTTTTGATATTATTACAGATAATACATACTTTTTTTATTATTACAGATGATACATACTTTTGATAATATTAGAGATGATACATACTTTTTTTATTATTACAGATGATACATACTTTTGATAATATTACAGATGATACATACTTTTGATATTATTACAGATAATACATACTTTTTTTATTATTACAGATGATACATACTTTTGATAATATTAGAGATGATACATACTTTTGATAATATTACAGATAATACATACTTTTTTTATTATTACAGATGATACATACTTTTGATAATATTACAGATAATACATACTTTTTTTATTATTACAGATGATACATACTTTTGATATTATTACAGATAATACATACTTTTTTTATTATTACAGATGATACATACTTTTGATAATATTAGAGATGATACATACTTTTTTTATTATTACAGATGATACATACTTTTGATAATATTACAGATAATACATACTTTTTTTATTATTACAGATGATACATACTTTTTTTATTATTACAGATGATACATACTTTTGATAATATTACAGATAATACATACTTTTTTTATTATTACAGATGATACATACTTTTGATAATATTACAGATGATACATGCTTTTGCTATTATTACAGATGATACATACTTTTGATAATATTACAGATGATACATACTTTTGATATTATTACAGATAATACATACTTTTTTTATTATTACAGATGATACATACTTTTGATAATATTACAGATGATACATACTTTTGATAATATTACAGATAATACATACTTTTTTTATTATTACAGATGATACATACTTTTGATAATATTACAGATGATACATGCTTTTGCTATTATTACAGATGATACATACTTTTGATAATATTACAGATGATACATACTTTTGATATTATTACAGATAATACATACTTTTTTTATTATTACAGATGATACATACTTTTGATAATATTACAAATGATACATACTTTTGATAATATTACAGATAATACATACTTTTTTTATTATTACAGATGATACATACTTTTGATATTATTACAGATAATACATACTTTTTTTATTATTACAGATGATACATACTTTTGATAATATTACAGATGATACATGCTTTTGCTATTATTACAGATGATACATACTTTTGATAATATTACAGATGATACATACTTTTGATATTATTACAGATAATACATACTTTTTTTATTATTACAGATGATACATACTTTTGATAATATTACAGATAATACATACTTTTTTTATTATTACAGATGATACATACTTTTGATAATATTACAGATGATACATGCTTTTGCTATTATTACAGATGATACATACTTTTGATAATATTACAGATGATACATACTTTTGATATTATTACAGATAATACATACTTTTTTTATTATTACAGATGATACATACTTTTGATAATATTACAGATGATACATACTTTTGATAATATTACAGATAATACATACTTTTTTTATTATTACAGATGATACATACTTTTGATAATATTACAGATGATACATGCTTTTGCTATTATTACAGATGATACATACTTTTGCTATTATTACAGATGATACATACTTTTTTTATTATTACAGATGATACATACTTTTTTTATTATTACAGATGATACATACTTTTGATAATATTACAGATGATACATACTTTTGATATTATTACAGATAATACATACTTTTTTTATTATTACAGATGATACATACTTTTGATAATATTAGAGATGATACATACTTTTGATAATATTACAGATAATACATACTTTTTTTATTATTACAGATGATACATACTTTTGATAATATTACAGATGATACATACTTTTTTTATTATTACAGATGATACATACTTTTGATAATATTACAGATGATACATACTTTTGATAATATTACAGATAATACATACTTTTTTTATTATTACAGATGATACATACTTTTGATATTATTACAGATAATACATACTTTTTTTATTATTACAGATGATACATACTTTTGATAATATTACAGATGATACATGCTTTTGCTATTATTACAGATGATACATACTTTTGATAATATTACAGATGATACATACTTTTGATATTATTACAGATAATACATACTTTTTTTATTATTACAGATGATACATACTTTTGATAATATTACAGATAATACATACTTTTTTTATTATTACAGATGATACATACTTTTGATAATATTACAGATGATACATGCTTTTGCTATTATTACAGATGATACATACTTTTGATAATATTACAGATGATACATACTTTTGATATTATTACAGATAATACATACTTTTTTTATTATTACAGATGATACATACTTTTGATAATATTACAGATGATACATACTTTTGATAATATTACAGATAATACATACTTTTTTTATTATTACAGATGATACATACTTTTGATAATATTACAGATGATACATGCTTTTGCTATTATTACAGATGATACATACTTTTGCTATTATTACAGATGATACATACTTTTTTTATTATTACAGATGATACATACTTTTTTTATTATTACAGATGATACATACTTTTGATATTATTACAGATAATACATACTTTTTTTATTATTACAGATGATACATACTTTTGATAATATTAGAGATGATACATACTTTTGATAATATTACAGATAATACATACTTTTTTTATTATTACAGATGATACATACTTTTGATATTATTACAGATAATACATACTTTTTTTATTATTACAGATGATACATACTTTTGATAATATTAGAGATGATACATACTTTTTTTATTATTACAGATGATACATACTTTTGATAATATTACAGATAATACATACTTTTTTTATTATTACAGATGATACATACTTTTTTTATTATTACAGATGATACATACTTTTGATAATATTACAGATAATACATACTTTTTTTATTATTACAGATGATACATACTTTTGATAATATTACAGATGATACATACTTTTGATAATATTACAGATGATACATACTTTTGATATTATTACAGATAATACATACTTTTTTTATTATTACAGATGATACATACTTTTGATAATATTACAGATGATACAT